GAGCAGGAGGAGCAGGAGGAGCAGGAGGAGGACCAGTGCAAACACAAGACTCATCAACGATATTGCAATAAGCCCTCTCTCCACATTGCTCTTCCTAGGCCCCCACATAGACTAATTTTACGAACGGTAGATGCCCTATTGAAGACAACAGTTTGAAAATCCTTAACTGCGCCACAACACATTTTCTGGGACTTCAACGCTGCGTGTGCGTCTTGACGGTCCTGAGCCGAACCAAAATATCACAACGGGGATCCCCACACCGCGAAATCAACGTATAGCTGATGCGCCCTGACAGTCCGACATCGTACAGAAATACAGTTCTGAGACGTACGCTGTCATTTTTATATGAAATAATTATAAGAATGAACATGATAATACTAACATCAACAACAACAATAATACCAATAATCATAATAATAATAATAATAATAATAATAACAATAACAATAATGATAATAATAAATAATAAAAATATTAATAATAATAAAATACTGTAAAAAATGCACACGTCGCTACGGCGAGAACCAAATCTTGAATAAAACAAACGAATGCACGAGGCGCTAAAGCGAGAACCACATTCTAAAAACGACCCGCCCCCCATCTGGGCAACTCTCGCAATGCGTTAGATCGACTGCGCGTGGCGCTAGGACGAGAGCCACATATTGAAAACTGCCCGCCCTCCACCCGCCTGCCCCACCGACAACCCTCGGGTTGCGACAGGGAGGAGTCATCTATAAGGAAAAGGGATGGAGGAGGCAGGACGAGGACGGAGAGAAGGGGAAGAGAAAGAGGAAGTCGGTCGGTCGGTCGCTGCATCGGGCCTCGGGTCGAGAGTCAGACACTGAAACACATCAAAGATATGATTCGATATGTACGACCTGCAGCGCGCGCACGGACGATATGAACAAGGCGCGCCCCCCCTGGGAACCCCAATTCATCTTCGCTCTACCATCTGCGGTGAGACTCGAGAAGTTGAAATCGCTCGGTTAGACTGAGTTTCGAGAACCGCTCTACATCTGCTGCACTGCTACGTTGCATGATGGCGTGCTGCACACGCGCACGTGCTCGATTGCTGCTGCCGACACGCGGAGGGGGGGGAAGGGGCCGCAAGCGTCGGAGGAGAAGGAGCAAAGGTGGTGAGAGGCAGACGCTGCCACCCTCCTCACGGGCGGTCTCACGCGAGCCGCCGATCCTCGCGCCTCGGGCGCTCACCGTCTCGGGCTCGGCCGCGTAATATCCCGCCACACTGCGGCGCACCACGACAGACACGGCGCCCCCCGAGCCCGACGACGAAGGCAGCGCGGGGGCCTTCACGGAGACGAGCCGCGCCGCGAGGAGGCTCTGGTCCGCCACGACAGCTGATCCAGCGCCAGCTGGAGAAGGCGCCCCTGGCGTCCGCGAGGAGCTGGGCCAAGCTTGATCTCCGCGCCAAGCTGCTCGGCGCACCGAAGGACGCACTGCTCGATGCTGGGATCGCTGATAGCGATCGTGATATTCGCTGGTTCTCCTTCCAGCACTGCGACGCGCGGCATCCGCGAACCAGAAACGCGAGCTCCTCCACGGGCATCGGCTCGATATTGGCGTAGATCGCGGCCCGCGCACCCTCGTTGCGGAGGCCGACTCTGGCCCCCGCGTCGCGCGCGGCGAAGGCGATCTGCAGGAACACCTGGACGCACGCCGGCCCCATGACCAGCTCTGGGGCTCGAGGCTGACAGGGGTCGGATGCGCGAAGCTCGCGCAACTTCGTCGCCTCCAGCGCGCAGGCCTTCCCCGCTGCGAAGCCCGCCGCCGCGATCGCGGCATCCTCCGACGTCAGCAAAGCGCGGCACGTGGACGCAATCAGGTTCCTGACGTTGAATGCGCCCCCCAGGATCGCCTTCGCCATCACGGGGATGAGCTCCAGAGCGAGCTGCATCTCCGTCGGCGGCAAGCGATCGAGCGCGTCCTTCGGGGGGCCGTAGCTCTGGGCGAGCTCCGTCTGCATCTCGCGGTGCCCTCCACGGGCGCGAGGCGCTGGAGCAGCGGCGGCGGCTCCGCTGGCCGCCGGCCGCGGCGCTGCCGCGGCGGCGCACCCGTCGCCGCCGCGGCCGCCCCCCTAGCGCGGCGGGGGTGCGCCCCACGGCTGACACTCTCAGAGCCACCTCGGCCACTGCGCGCCGGCGCGGCTCGGCGACTGCGGGGGCGGGAGCGGCCCATGGCGGCGTCCTGCAACGACTGCGGACCCAGGCGAAAGGCCACGCGCGCTGCCTGCGCCCGCTGGGGCACGCCGCGGCGCTGGCTGCGGCGCGCGGTGCTCGAGCAAGTGCGCCCGAAGAGCTGCAAGGTTCTCGAAGGGCCCCCCTGCCGAGCACGCGAACTGCAGAGACTTGGAACCTGATATGAGGGCTGACATCGCGATGGAGGCCAGGGGGCACATCAGGGATTGGGGTTCCTCGACCTCGTGGTAGTAGGGGGACCCCTGAACGGGGCGCCCACGAGTCAAACAGGCCGCCACCGCATGCCCCCGGGCAATTCGACGAGTTCATAAGGCGCTGGGGCAGAACACGCACTGATTGGTGACAACAATGGAGTGAATAAGGGACCGACACCCGTGGCCTGAGCTTCGCAGGAACCTCCGGCGTGCGATCAAGGCACGGCGAGACGCGAACTCGCGCCCGCACGGGGCGCCCTCGGCATCCAGCAGCTCGCAGCGCCAGATCGCCGTCGGCGGTGATGGGGACCCCCTCGGCAGCAGCAGGAGGCCGCCAGCCAGGCGGCGGGATCGCCACACCGCGCGCTTGCGCCCGCAGCTACCCAGGGCCCAACATCAGGTAGCTCTCGCGCAGGCCCTCGCTGGCGAACAGCGCGATGACGTTGAGCAAGCCGCCAGGCGTCCGCAGGTCCTCGCGCAGCTCGCTCGCCTCGGCTACCTCGAGCAACGCCTCGACGTCGGCGACGAACCTCAGCGCGCACGGGTTGGCGTCGGCAGCGACGGAGCCGTCGGCGCCAAGCGTCGGGGTCCTTTCCAGCGGCAGCTCTCCAAACACCACGGCGAGCTCCTGCGGATGTCGGCTGGGGAGCTTTTCATGAGCGGCTTGCGATTGTCATCGAGCTTCGGGAAGCCACTGATCTTCTGGCGCGCAACGCCAACCAGCAAGCGGCGACCAAGGCTCGACAGCACCTTGTCCAGTTGCTGGCACTGCGACGCGCTGAGCACAAGGACGTTCAGCCCGCTGAGCGCCGCCCCCTGCACCACGGAGCCGAACGCGACCCGCGTCAGGCGCCAGATGCGGTTCCGTGCCCAGAAGCGCCCCATGCCACAGTATCGCCCGCGGGCAGCTTGCAGCCTTCGCCGAAGCTCCGCCTGCGCGCCGCCCGCGATGGAGGTCTGGATGCCGAAGGCCACGTTGTCGCACTGCACAGGGCCTCCACCCCGCCGAAGCTGGCGCGCCTCGCGCTGGGAGCCGCGGCCCAGGAAGCAGGGCGAGACCGAGCTCCTGGGCGGGTTGCGCGCGCGGCCGCGGGGCTCTGGGGCGCGCCGCAGCTCGCAGCGCGACGAAGCCCGCGTGCCTGGCCGAAACCACCACGCTCGAGTGATTGGCGTCGTCCGCGTAAAGCCGAGTGCCCAACGGCACAGCAGCTTCCTGAAGTGGGCGCCACGCGACGCAGAGAGCATCTCGCTCGGCCAGATCGCGGCGTCGGCGTCTGCGCGGGGAGCCGGAGGTGGAAGAGGTCGGCGCTGCCACTCTCGGTAGGTGGTCGGGGGGTCGCGCAGGTCGCAGGCGGCCCAGGCGGCATTGCGCAGTCGCTGCGGCCACTCGGCGATGGGCTCGCGGAAGGTCCGCGCGAAGAAGAGCGCTGCTGGGGCGCCCCCCATGAAAGCGCCGCAGCGGTTGCGGAGGTCCTGGTCGCCGTCGGCCCCGATGACGCGGAAGGTGCTGAGCTCGTGCCGCCGGTGGAAGTAGCCATGCCCCATTGGGCGCGCCGTGGCCTCGACCGTCCGGCGCAGGGCTGACAGCGCGGGAGAGCCGAAGGCGTCGCCCACATCTTCCTTCGCGGCGAGGGAAGAGATGCCCAGCCGACGGAGACGTCCGAGAAGCCCCCCCTGGCAAAGAAGTGCGCCTCCCCGATTGCGACCTCGCTGGCGCCCGCGTCCTCGCGGCGGTGGAACGCCCCGCGGCGCGCGTTGGAGTTGACCTTTGCACCTGGCGGCGCCGACCTCGCATCGGCCGTGGACGAAGCGCACGGAGTTGGACTCGGCCGCCCCATAGTTCTTGTCGAGGCCCGCGGTGACCGAGCGGTGCCAGATCAGCGGGGCGCGCATGACCCTCCTGACGCGGGCGAGGATGGTCTTCAGAGCGCGCTCGGTGATGGGCTCGTTCGATCTCGCAAGCGCCGAGGCCGAGTCCGCAGCAATCGCCAACAAGACGGCGGCGAGCTCGCAGCCACGCTCGAGCTCGGGGAGGAGGGCGGGGATGAGGAGGGCGAGGGCGAGGGAGAGGGCGAGGGCGAGGTTCGTCACCCCCTCACCTTCGTCGCAAAAACGCCGCGGGCGTCGCCGCCTGCATCTGCCATCATATCGACGCCAGGGCTCTAGGGCAAGCCGAAGAACTTAAGTGGGAACACTGCGAGGTGGCGCAGCTCGACGTCGCGAGGACTTCGAGAGGACCACTTCTCGAAGTCCTCGCGCCCGAGGTCGAGGCGCTCGCACGCATTCATCGGAGCACGGGGGAGCGCCTCCAAGTACTGCTGGCGGCACGCCTCGAACTCGATCGGGATCGCGTCGAGACCTCCATCAGCGCCAGCCTGTGCGAGGCGCCGCACGATCCAGGCGCGCAGCGGGGGGAAGCTGTCGCCAACGCTGTAGCATCCTCGGCGTGGCCCCTTGCATTGGGCCGCGAGCTGGCGGCCGAGGCGCCAGTACTCGGCGAGCTGCCGCTTCTGCCACGCCTCGCGCATGTCATACATGAGGAGCTGCAACTCGCTGTCGAGACGAATGCGACGACGCGCGCGCAGCTGGCGCGACGCCCTCGCGAGGGCAGAGGCCGCGTCAGCGGGGTCGCCCCCTGCCCCTCGAACGCCCCGACAAGCGGCAAGCAAGCGAAGTCGCTCCGCCCGAAGTCGTTGAATTCGCTGCGGAACGGGGGGGGGGCGGTCAGAGAAGCGCTTCTGAGCCACGGCTGCCAACTCCCCCACCCAGCGGCCCCAGGCCTCATCAGGCGCGCTCGCGTCGCACAGCGCGCGAAATTAGCCAGGGTGCTGCGCGAAGGCCTCCTCGAGCAATCCGGCGAAGGCGGTCACTCCAGTGCCCCGCTGCAGCGCCTGACCCAGCCGATGAAAATCGCAGACCGTCCGAGGTCGAGTAGGGGGCGCCTGCAGCGCATAGATGACCTGCATCAGAAGCGGGACGTGGTCCTGGAGGCCAGGACGAGGCATCTGCTTCAAGCGCAGGTTGGCACTCTTGAATGGGAGCACCCGTTGCACGGAGGGCACCTGCCACGCGAAGACCGCGATCTGGTCGATGACGGAAGGTCGGCCCTACGTCAAAGCCGCCAGTGACCACCCTGAGCGCGAAGCTTCGAGCATCTCCAGCATCTCGTCGGCCACAAAGCGCTGCAGCTGGCGTCCGTATGGCCCCAGCGCCGCGGAGTCCACCTGCTCGAAGATCTGCGGGCCTCGTTGACGAAGGCCGAACTCGTCGTTCATGTCGAAGCCGAAGAAGAGAGCAGAACGCCCTCGCGCCCATGCGAGGGTCTTCTGAACCCAATCGCAGACGGCGTCGACGGTGGCCCTGCACTGCTGGTGCATGGCCCCCGCGGACGCTGACTCCATGGCCTATCCAAGAATCGACGGCCCCGGAGGGAAGTAGGCCATCGGCACCAGGATGTCAAATTTTCCGCTGCGCAGGCGCGCGAGGGAAACGCGCCCTCGCGGCTGCACTGGCACGGGCGAGGTGTCCACGAGGTGCGGCGTCCGAAACACACGCTTGCGAAGCAGAATGGTGCACCCGCAACTCTTGTTCACGTGGGGGCTGTGACTCCAGCCCGATCGAAGAGCAGTATGGAAGGCCAGCGACGAACGAATAGTGTCAACATCTGTCCTCCGCTCTCCAGTGCCACTCAAACAAATCACATCAACGTAGCGAAACGCAGCAGAGATATCACAAAGCCGTTCCTCCGAGCTTGCATTCTGAGCGTTCCAGTGAACACACTTCATCAAAAGATCAAAAAAAACCAGAGCCGTCCGAAACACCAAAACATCGGCATCAGCAGCGCCGCCAGGAGCCGCCGCCGCCGCCTCACCGCAGGAGGAAGGCGCGCCATGCGGGGCGCGGGTTACGAATGCGCATCCTTCTGCGCAGCCGCTCCAGGATCACCAACCTCGGGCAGGGGGGGCTAGAAGGAGGAGGAGGAGGAGGAGGAGGAGGAGGAGCAAGGACCACGCTCCGCCACCAGAGGAGGAGGAGGAGGACGACGACGACGACGAGGCCGAGGGCGAGCAGGCAGAGTGCTGGGACGAGGAGGACGAGGAGGAGTCCTGCAACGCCTCCTCCGCGCGCAGGGCCCTCTCCAGCTCCCCCTCGGCGGCCGCCGCGGCCGCGAGCTGCGCCGCCTCGCGCTCCGCCTCCTGCGCCGCCTCCCCGCGCGCCGCCTGGAGCTCCTCCCGCAGCGCGAGCCAGCTCGCCCGCAGCCTCGCAACGGCCTCCGAGTCGCGCCTGCAGAGTCAGTCAGCATCGACTCGGGAAATCGGACGGAATCGCCATGCGCGTCGGGTCGGGCCGCATCGGCCCAGAGTCGGAGCCGAACCGGATCGGCTGCCCCCGGATGAGCAGCCAGGCCCATGCCGGCATCGGGCCGCATCGGATCGTCGGAGCATCAGCATCGGATCGGATCGGAGCGGGCCGGCAGGAACCGACACCGGATCGGGCCCTTCGGATCGACAAGGGCCCTGGCCTGTGGCCCTGCTCGGCGGCGTCGAGCCTCCGCTGCCGCTCGGCGTTGCTCCGCCGGGCCTCCGCGCACTTGCGGTGGAGGTCCGCGATCTGGGAGTCGAGCACGTGCTCGCCCTCCTCCCGCAGCCGCCGCTCCAGCTCCTCGTTGTCGCCCTGCAGCCTCGCGACGCTGCTCCGCAGCAGCCCGCGGGCTTTCTGGAAGGAGCCGAGCATCCCGCGCGGAGCGCCCAGGCGGAGCGGCGGGCGTGCGCGGAGCTCGACGACGGCGGCGGCGGCGGCGGCGGCCCCTCACCTCGCTAGGGGCGCCAAGGGAGCAGCGCGCGCGGAGCTCAGGGATCGAACAAGTGCACACTCGGGAAGACGGAGGAATCGGGTTTGGGGGACCCGGGTTGGCCTGACAGGGGTCGTCAGGAAAATCGATGAGACCCAGTCTGAGATTTGACGCGAGCTCCCGCTGCAGACATCCCACAAAAACTGGACGGTCAAAATCCAGGACGGGCTCGTCAAACAGCGTCGGCAAACCCGAGTTCTGGCGAACTCGAGTCTTACGTTTACCCGAAAGCTCCGCCTCCTTCCCCCCCAAAACTCCCCGCGCCGTGACAGACGAATGACAGGAGGTTTGGGGTCAGTCTCTTGGGGGTCCATAATGGTGCGGTGACGGAGCGTGCGGTGACCTCGAAATCCAAAGACCTCACCGCACGGTTTGGGGGCCCTGGAGGCCCCTGTCGCCCGAGACATCCTCGAAGAACGACCCTGGTCCCAAAACCGTGCGGTGACCCCGAATCGCCACTGACTCACCACACGGTGTGGTCACTGGACCGTTTTGGGGCCCCCGAAGAATGACGGGCGGTCGTCTTAAGCCAGTTCCGACCTCGGGGGCCCTTTCGCCAGCCCTGGGGCCGTCAAGAAACGACTCGGGACGAAAATCTGGCCCCGGGGAAAGGGTCGCCCCGTGTTCACAGGATCAGGACGTCGGATCCTCCACACCGATAGACTGAGTTGCTCTGTACGGGGTCCCCGGAAGTCTCGGCCCTTCCCCAAAAGTCCGGCTTCTCGTCATGAGCGGTTCCTTGACAGCAGGGGGGCCCGACAAAGGACCCCAGGAGCTGGGATAACAAAAAACTCGGAATCCATATGTTTCAATACGCGCGCTGGACCCAAACATTATCCGATGCGGTTCTTTCCATCCGCGGCCCCCGAGCTCCCGCCCCCTTCCCCTGGGTGCAGTTTTCGCCCCAGCACCAATGTCTGACGGCACCGGGGCCCGAGGACGGGCCCCAGGGATCGAAGTCGAAATCGAGGAGAAGCAACGGCACGGAGCCCAGCAAAAAAAAACATCTCGCAGGCGACAAACAGATCCGCATCCACGGCCTCGCGGGCCGCCGGGCTCCTGGTCCACAACCGCCTGGATGCGGGGCGTTCTCGCGGATGCCCCGCGCGGAACGCAGTCCTGCGACCGCGCATCCGCGGGATCGGACCCCCAGCAGACCGCGAGGGAGTGGATGTGGATATGTTCGCCGCTCGTGCCTATCGTCTGGGGCGCGATCCCGCGGTCTGGATTCTGGGGCGCGATCCCGCGGATATGCGGTTGCACGGATGCGCTCATCGCGGGGCATCCCCGATAAAACGCCCCGTAACCGCCGGGTCGCGGCCCGAGGGCCCTTCCCGCGAGGCCGCGGATACGGATATGTTCATCGCCCACGACCTCCGGACCTGGACCCTCCAGAGGGCCATGGAGATCCCCGGAGGCCCCCAGATGTGCGGACGCGACGAGACTCGCCAAGAGACCTCCCAAACTCGGGCACTCGCTGACACGGATAGGGGATCCGCGGGTGCGGCGCCCACGCGCCAGATCTGCGGATCGGGGAAGAGGCCCCCGAAGCATGAGGCCAATGCCGCCTGGCTTGCCATCGCTAACCCACGCGCCCGAGCTCAGGCTTGGGCGGCGAGCCCAGAGGGGAACGGCAGAGGGGGCGGGGCTTCTCAGACGGCTCAGAAGGCCTGAAGCCTTCTGAGAAGCTTTCGAAGCCTTCCCCGAAGGCAGAGACGTCTTCTCCGAAGGCTGGCGGGCGTCTGAGAAGCCCCGACGCCCCCCCCCCGTCCCCCTGAACGCGCCGCCGATTGTTTGCACGTTCTCAAAAACTATCCTCGGAATCCGAAGCTCGATCCTCGATCTTCCTCCCTCTCTGGTCTTCCCGCGTCGGGCCGCAGTGGAGCGGGGGCCTACTTCTGCTCTGCCTCAGCTCCTCCTTCAGAGCGCTGAGCTCCTCCTGCGGCTTCGGGCGAGAGCGGGCAGGCCGGGAGGCAGGAAGGAGACCTGACGTTTTTTGGTCTGCGGCGGGTTGGGTCCAACAGGGGGTCGGGAGAACGGCGGGGCGCATCCGAAGCTGACCACGGCGAAAGAGAAAGGAGGTGCAAGAGGGGAGGATGGAGCGGCCGCGGAACTGGAACAGCCCAGACATCCGACATCGTCCTTTTCTCTCGACGTGGCTCCCGAAAGGTCTGGACCCCTTCCCCAGGACCAACTTTTCGTCCCGAGTCGTTTCGTTGACGGACTGAGGTCCCTGCAACACTGCAAGGGAACCCAGGGGCCGAAAACTAGCAAACCCCTTCCGTCGTAATTCTTTACAACGCGAGGGTGTCAGGGGAGGAGCGAGGAGAGCCAGGCAAGATTGCGGCACGTCTCGCATCCTCCCTCCTACGCACACACACACAGTGGCGCTTTGAGCCATCCTCTCAGCAAGATTGGCAAAGCCTCCCACGTCAAGCACAAGTACGAGGCCTCAGCCAGAAAGCACCGATTAATCTCGAAGACTTCACACGGCTGCATGTGCGGGCCATGCTTTCGCACACGCTGGGCACGCCAGAGAAGAGAAGAGGTAGGGGGCAGGGAGGCGGGGAGAGGAGGGGACAACAAGCTAGGTGCGCCAGCGTCACATATTCCGTCCTCACCCTCCCTGCCATCACTTACCATGGCGTTTATCTCCTATACCTATTCGTACAGTCGGATGTCGAGCAGGGCAATGATCACAAGGGCACAAGGGGGTACGCGATGGATGGAAAAGCATGGCGTACAAAAGCACTGCAGAGCATAGCATGTCATAGCATGGCGTGGCTTTGCGTAGTGAAGCATTGCTAGTGCATCACAAGGCATAGCAACGCGAAGCATGGCATCGCACAGCGGTGCACAAAACAACATCGCATTGCATGCCGTGGCATGGCACTGGATTCCAAGTGCCGTCCGGAAGCGCGGGAACGAGGCCAGCGCTGCAGCGGGAGCAACATTTCGGAAGAACCCGAGAAACGGCCGCATTGAAAAAGCACGTAGGAAAAAACAAATAATGGCATCCTGTGTGTAAAGAACCATACGCGGAGAGGACGGGAGACTCTCTGGACAGAGTCAGGGGAGAGAGGAGAGTGGTATTAATATTGTGTATTTATGGAGGGGGGAAGAGAAACAGGCTCCCGAGATCTTGCGCGCAATCGACCCTCCCAGGCCCCCATGGCGTCGTCACGCGGGCGCCCCGGGAGCTGTCGGCGCCATCGCGGGTGGTCCTCGCTTTCCCCAGGGCCCGAAAGTAACCCGCGGACGCAGGAATCGCGAGCATCAAAGACGCCATCCCGTCTGAGATCGCTCTCGGGGCGGAGGTCTGGCCGCGACGACGAGGAAGCCCCCTGTCGATTCATCGCAGGGGTGCCTGGCGTGCTGGACCTCTCGATTTTGGTGTTGGTTCTTCTTCCAAAAGATCTCCCCCTGGCGCTTCGGCCCGTCCCGCCGGGGTCCTGGGAGGATTGCCCAGGACCCCAAAGTCCCGAAAAAAATCCTCCAAGACGGCTCAAGATGGCGTCCAAGATGGCCAAGATGGCCCAAGATGGCCTCTAAGATGGTCCAAGATGGGCTCCAAGTCCGTCCAAGATGGTCCAAGACGGCCTCCAAGACGGCCCAAGAGAGTCCAAGACGGCCCAAGACGGCCCAAGAGGCCCCCCAGAGGCCTCCAAAACGGCCCAAGAGGCCTCCAAGAGGTCCTCCAGGAGGACCCGAAGAGGCCAAAATCCTTGAATTTCCTTAGGTTTTTGAAGGATTTGGGGATTTGCTTCTTCTCGGCATTCCGACGGCTCAAGACGGCCCAAGAGGCCCCAAGATCGCCCAAGAGGCCCCCAAGAGGGCCCCATAACGGCCCAAGTGGCCTCCAAGACGGCCCCAAGAGGGCACCAAGACGGCCCAAGAGGCCTCCAACACGCCCAAGGTGGCCTCCAAGACGCCCAAGATGGCCTCCAAGACGGCCCCGAAGCGCCCCAAGAGGGCCCCAAGTCGGCCCAGGAAGGCCCCCAAGACGGCTCCCGACGGCGTCAGACGTGCCAGGAACCCACCAAGAAGGCCGAAGTTGGCTCAAAGCTGGCCCAAGACGGCCCAAGAGGCCTCCAAGAAGGCCTCCAGGAAGGCCAGAAGAGGCCAAAAACATTGATGTTCCTAAGGTATTTGACGGATTTTGACATTTGCTTCTTTTCGGCCTTCCGACGGCCCGAGACGGCCCAAGAGCCCCCAAAGATCGCCGAAAGATCGCCCAAGAGGCCTCCAAGATGGCCCTAGAACGGCCCAAGAGGGCCCCAAGACGGCCCCAAGAGGCCCCCAAGACGGCACAGGAGGCCTTTAAGCCGCCCAAGATGGCCTCCAAGACAGCCCGGGAGCATTCCAAGAGGGCCCCAAGTCGGCCCACAAAGGCCCCCCAAACGGCTTCCGACGGCGTCAGACGGACCAGGAGCCCACCAAAACGGGCGAACATGGCCCTAAGATGGCCCAAGACGGCCCAAGAGGCCTTCAAGAGGGCCTCCAGGAAGGCCCGAAAATGCCAAAATCATCGATTTGCGATGGGTTTTTGAAAATTGTGGCAGTTGCTTTTTGTCTGCCTTCCGACGGCCCGAGACGGCCCAAGTGCCCACAAAGATCGCCCAAGAGGCCCAAGACACGGCCCCAAGAGGCCCCCAAGACGGCCCAAGAGGTCTCCAAGACGCTCAAGATAGCCTCCAAGACGGCCCAAGAGCCCTCCAAGACGTCCTCCAAGAAGGCCCGCAAGGGTCAGAACGACCTCCAGACGGCCCAGAGATGACCTTCAAGATGCCCACGTGTTCCCCGAAGGCTTTCCAAACCGATTCGGGGAACACATGGTCCGATAGCTTGGCAAGCCTCTGGCCACAACCTTCGGCCACATAGG